CAAAAACCGAGTCAAAACCGACTTTTATCAAAACTGGGGTTTCCAGGCTGTTTTCACTTAATATTAAAAAATTCACAATTCACTCGAAAAACATCAGAATAGCCTGTAAACTTCAGGATGCACACTATTTAGGCTATTCCATATGTTATTGATAAGAAATCAAAAAAAGCTAATTTACAAAATCCTATAGTTTTTCGAAGGCTTTTCCCAGAAAACTGTTGACCAAAAACATGTTTTTTCAATTTTTTCGATCGTATAACCATGTTAAATGGGCAAAACTAGCTACATCCTGAAGTTTTCAAGCCATTCTGATGTCATATCTGATGTTGCTCAGTGCCATATGCAGATTTTCTAACATAATCCTTTTCTGAGCATATTTATTAGTGGAAGTGAGAACAATAAATACAACAAAACACTTTTTTCGAGATTAATAACGTCGTATAATTATAGAAAAAAGAGGATTACTGCATGACATATTGATAACGTGTGAACGCTTCGGTGAGGTATTTTCTATCATGACAATTAAATGAATTTTCCATGTGGTACGTGATAGTTGATGATTTTTTTAATCATGTCTGTTACAGAAGACAAATTTTTATTATATATCTGAGAAAAATAGGACTCGATAAAAATGTTGAATAAAACGTAGATTTATTGAGATTCAAGTAGATACTTTATCTTCTCGTTGAATTGTCGCAATAGGAAACACAGATATCAAAATTTGAACTTTTATTGACATTATCAGTCGCACAGTATTACCACTTTTCCTCATACACTCGAACCCATGAATTGTCAATAGAGACATTTCTTTTTTATTGATCCAAGTGTATTTTACTGCATTAAGAGAAAGAAAAATAATTTTACTTTTCAGAGTTCAAATATAAACAATTTACTCGCAGTTAAGTGGTGTCTTCTGACAAAACCTAACATCTTCGTAATTTTCATATGCTATAGTGCGCGCCTGCTTTTTTACATTGCAAAAATATTTGCTTGAACATTTACAACTCATCCTTTGCTATCATCCCCAAAAGAGTAAAAACCTTAAAATGGAAGTTTTAATATTACCCTAAAAAACTCAGCATCATAATCCTGTCATAAACTGCGAACTTTCATATCACTGCAAACTTCACGCACGCCGTACGAATATCGTTTCGACACATCGAATATACGTATTAGACCACCAGATTTTTTAGCCGTCTTCTTTTCTTGGCTTGTATATTAATCCTCAGTTTATCATACATATCCAAACAGTAAAAATGTAACGACCGTACGTCTTAATACTCTGAACATAAAGATGTAAAGTCTCTAACGACCATTCGAATAATCGACGATCCACGCTCGAATGGTTATTCATGATGCGTAATGGAATTTCACACGCAGTGGTTAAAAACGTACGAAACTATCTCGAATATTGTCCATCTAACAACGCCGTTTCTGATTAATTTGCTCTCGACTACTCTCTTTCTTACTAGTTTAGCTCGAAGGAAACTTGCCTTGATGGTAAATACGGATACTTATTACATGCTGTTGAAAAAACAGATTACTTTGTATAAACCATTTGTTGTTAGCCCGGTTATATTAATTATCGTAGAACTGCCTCGTCTAGTGTCATCATTCACGTTTGCTTGTATCAAATTTTCTTGGTAAAAATATATCTACTTAGTCAGTTATTTTGTTTCATTCATTCCACTCGTGAGCACGATAATCATTTTTGTTCTTCCAGCTCCTGTGTATAGAAAAGAATTAAGTGAATTTTTAAAGAGCACAAAAACTCATTTTACACGATTTTCTCAAAGATCATAAAATGTTATGAATGATAGAAAGAGTCTTATGTAGATCGGTACAACCCTGCTTACACGCATATCTGTTTCGCTAAAATGTTTTTGTTCCCTTTCCCTGATAAACTTATCCATTCTATAAATATTTCACTTTTTTTATTTCTGCTATAACAATTGATCTTTGATCTACATCTTTAACATGATTTAATGTTACTAGTGTTGCGAGAATGTGTGCTCTAGCTACTAAAGAAAGTTTTGTGTTGTTTAACGATGGTTCGTGCACTTTTCCGCTCCGTAACTGTTATATTGTGAAACTGCTTTCATTGTATTTATCATTATGAAACGCTTATCGTTGTACAATAGTTATAATATTTTTAAGTATTTTATATTTTTCTGTAGAATTTTGATTAAATGTTTAAAAATATTTCTGGTAATACTTTTCCTATTCAGACTACGACATAAAAGGTAGAAGATGACGATTCATTACGGGAGGATTATGATAGTGCAAATCAACCAAATAGCAACGGTGTTCCAGATAAACTAACAAAGGATTTGAGTGAACCAGTTATTGCCACGAGAATCTTGTCATTTAGTATGGTGACGATCAAATAAAAAACGTTTACGAATTACAGCACAACTTGCATAAAAATGGTTATCCAACATCAGCTACAACGGTACCATCTGAACGTAGGTTTTCAGCCGCTGGTTATGTGATAAACAATCGTCGTGTTCGTTTATCACAAATCAATGTCAATCAAATGATATTTATAAACAAAAATCGAGATTAGAACTCTGATGTAAAAAGTGTTAACAATCTATCTCCTGATACCAGCATAGATATTTGTTTTATTTTTTCAGTTTGGACGACTTTCTTTAGAACGAAGCGAAAAAACGTCAGGTCATTTTCGAATAAGTCTCGATTTTTTCGTCCAAATTTAATGGTCAAATAAGCTAAAAACGATGGCTAATTCAATGGAAACATTTTTTAAATTTTCAAAAACCGTCCGGAGGGTTTTCCAGAGGCTGGATCTTCAGAAAACCTTCTCAACAACCAGACTTTTTGAAAATGGTCTAGAACGATAGAGAATTGAATTCTGAAAAAAATTGAGACGTTTTCGAGCCTTCTGCGACTTCTCGGTCAAGAGAAATGTCCAAAAAACTAAAAAACGGTTTTTGGAAATTTTAAAAATGTTTCCATTGAATTAACCATCGTTTTTAGCCATAAAAGATGTTTTAGAGTAAATTTTATTTATATGACTAGTCCAAGTCAAATCATAAGAAAACACAAAACCTAAATACTTAACTTTGTCTCCTTCGAGGACGGCTGAACTATTTAAAATAATTGGTGGTAAGGATAATTTTTATACGGTGATAATGCGACAAGAAATTTATAGCTTCACATTGACTAAAATTTAAGGGGATAAACCATCTCTCGAATCATTCTTCTACTATTGCCAAATCATTATTAATGGAATACCATGAATAAGGACTTTGCATTATTCACAATTGATACTACACTATTGTTTGAATGAAAACTAGTTTTGTAAATTTCATAAAGATCAAAATAATTGTTCGATATTTGTTGTTGTTTTTTGATGAGATCAATATTTGATACTGATTGACAACATAGAGGTAGAAATTTACAATCTAAGTTTAACATGGCTGAAGAGCGTGATGAATAATTCTTATTGTGATGAGGTAATATACGTTTATTTTGAACTAATTCTGCCTAACTAATATATCGCTTACAACAATGTTCAAATGATTTTAATTCCAAATTAGAACGTTTACCGTTGAACAAGCTCACCATATTGTTTTTAATCGATTCAAACATGAAATTTCTCTCTTAGAAACTTGAAATACCTTTTCATGACAATAAGGCTGGATATTAAATCAGTGGTTGCTTTGATGTATTGAAGTCCGATATTTACACAAACGTTAGTTCAGTATAAACAAAAATAATTCTTTCCCTGCTGAGTGAAGGCAAGGGACAAATAACATAGCTTTTGATTCATTCAAGAACCATTGAAATCTGTGAAAAGCTTTCTCAAATGTAGTTAAATAGAATTGGACTTCTCTACAAAATATATATTCACTGTTTTCTTGCAAAATCCGAAGGTGGAAAATAAGATGAGATATCCTATAAAGTACGAAAATTCAAAAAAACAACATATTTTGTCAGAGAGTTACATTTTTTCGAATGGTTTCACAGGCATCAGAGTGCGGTTTGAATATACTTGTGTAGTTTCAAGCTCTCTCTTGGCATGTAACAAAGTTTGTTTTGAGTGAAAAGATACCGACGCACGATTGACTTTTTGAAAACCGAGCGAAAACAGCAAATGATTTCGGCCTTATCTACACACCATAACATAGGAAATTTTTTTTCAAATTTTATCGATTCTACAATACAGACTAATCATTGGTCTTCAGAACGAAAAAGTTCAATCCGAAGGGATCAAGTTTGACTAGACTATACTTGTTTTATCGAATGATGCCAAATCCTGGTCAAAAATCATCATTTTTAGAAAATTTTCAAGAAAAAATCAACGAGCGCTCGGTTCTAACTAATAATTTTTTAATCATAAGTGGAAGACAGAGCTCTCCAATAGCTACTTCACCTTTCTTTCCCCTACAAACGTTTAACGAATAAAATCTAAAAGGCAGTTGTTTAACTTATTTTTTTCTGAATTTTGGTACTTCATAAGATTTCTCATCTCATTTTCCACCTTCGATTTGTACAATAAAACAGTGAATATATATTTTGTAGAGAATTGAACGTGCTATCTTTCGGTAAAAGAATTTACTTGATTTATTATAAGGAAGAGGAGAAAGTTGAAATTATTACACTCTAATTCTTTTTGGGTCATCTGCTATAGCGCGGATACTTATTTTTCCAATAACTGTTACGAATTTATTAGTAGATGCACCTGCAAAGCAACAACAATAACGTCTTTTGATCTTGTCCATCTAAATATACCAAAAATATTTTTTTTACAAAACGTTCTCTTCATTGCTTTTTTTCTAACAAAAAATTGACCTAAAGAGTGCACAATAACATCAAAATATTTTTTCAAAAAATGTGCACATATGCACTGTATAATCACATTGTTTCAAGAAACAGAGAAACAGAGTATCAACATAGAAAAATAAACAAAACAATGTACACAAATGGAAAAAAAGAGCAATAAACTTATTTTTTTGGTTTAGAAAATCTGTTGTTCGTTACTTTTCTCCATTGTCAAGTGTCGATGAAATTGAAGTTTGTTTTGAAGAAGACGATGTTGCTGTTCTATCATCTTCATTATTATTGTTTAACGTACCATTGGTGGTGGTCGTTGTATTTTCAACTAATTTTTGTTTTTTAATTTCATTTCCAGTTGAAGTTACACAATCTGGTGATAATGAACGTTTTGTTGTTGAGGTTGCTTCTGGTGTTATTGGATTATTAAACATCGATTGCCAAGGCGATTTTTCATTTGGTATTGACAAACTTGGAGATAAAGATGAGAGCGGACTAAATGTATCACCTGTGCGGATATGATGAGGCTTAAACGTGACGATAATACATGTCATATTGTCACAACCAGTTCCTGAAAAAGAAAGTGTTTATTTAGCCGTTAATCGTAGCCACGGCTATCTTACGATGTGCATGATAAGAACATAAAGCATAGATGTCCAGTTATCATTATCTAGATAATAGCTATATAAATAGGATTTAAGGATATAAGGATAGAAAATAAGGATTTAAGAAGATAAGAGACACAAGGGACGGTGTGGGGGTGTGGGAAGATGG